TTTATACCATCAGCAACAAGCTAGCACCATAGATTTGGTCAAATGAGGTTTACTTTACCTAAAGGTCATACTTCTAGTACTATTTACTAATGGGAAAACCTTGTCACACCTTTTTTGTGAATAGAAAATATTCTGACATTGTAAATTGTAAATGGGGGGAAAAAATCTGACATGCCTACCCCCAACAATGTACTGCCAGAGTGGGTAAGTGGGTCTAACTGATGACCACAGACCTTTATTACAATTGGCCTGTAATATGGAATTACATGCAAACTGGGAAAAAAAGTTTTTCCAATCAACTTTGTGTATTAAAGCAAACCTGTGTTGAAGAAATAAGTAACCAATAAATGCAGGCACCATAAAGTCCCAGTAAATATTATAAGTACTTGGAAATGGTCCCCAGATATGCATGTGATATGCTGTTTGCCACTTCCTGGTAGATAGATTCCACCAACCCACAATGCAATGTGCGATGTCTGATCATCCTATTAAAATGACATTCCTATTCTCCAACTATGTTAGAGTGAGAATGTGTATATTACATTCATGGGTTTCCATAGGGCTCCCCTTAAGACCAGAACTGTCAACTTGAGCTGGTTTAGAATTGGTGCTATGGATGCTATTGCTAACCTGGCAAACCCACAGACACCATTCTAGCAATGAGTTTCTGAACCTCCGGGCCAGCTATAACTCGCTGTCATCTCCTGCAAATTTGTTTGCCAACATACCAGCCCCAGAACACATGAATCCAGGAGACCGAATGAAACAAGGCACCTGCCACTAACAGTATATTCATTTATATGTATATGGAAAAGATAGTGGTAGATTGTTGATCCATTGGATTGGTTTTGAGATTAAAAGCTGGTTGAAAGTGACTGAAAAAGCTAGAATAATTGCTGTGTATAGCCAACATTACTGTTGTGCATGGCTGGTCATTAACTCCTCCTTTTCATACTCCTTCCTCTGGGTCACTGTGTTCTGCCACTGACTGCTCTCAGAGTAGGGCCACCATGCTGTTTGTACAATAAGGTTACCAGTGAAGGATGAGATGAGTATACGGAATAGCATTAAGTGTATTAGGGCTCAGTTCAGAATTTAGAGTTAAGCTTGGTTTTTTGGGTTAAGGGTTTGGGGGGCAAGTGTTATGGGGGATAGCTCACTTTAGGTGAGGTTCAATGTTATGGTTATATAGGTGCAGTGTTAAGTGATATCTTTAAGCACTGAATGCATTTTTACTTATTATTAGAGTAAAAGTCAGCGCAGGGTATGTTAACTAGAGCTGCAGCTAACGATTATTTTAAAAATCGATTAGTTAGCCGATTAATAAGTTCGATTAATCGGTTAATCGGATAAACTATAAAATAAAGTTTAAAAAATGGCTCCAGTGATAGGACTACTAGTTTGTATTGAGGTTGTAGTCCATCACAGGAGCAAGCTTGGAGCGGTGGAAGTAAAAAAGAAAAAAAGATAGTGTGGTGTGCAATATAGTGAAATGGAAAGTGTAAAATTATACAGCAATGCATGCAGAATGGCACCGGCAATAGAGGAATACAACAAATCCCAGCAATAGTACATAATAGTTGGTGGTATTCTGCATTGCGCTGTATAATGTATTATTGCTGGGACTTGTAGTCCTCTATACAGCGCAATGCAGAATATCACCAGCTATAGAGGAGTACAACAAATCCCAGCAATACATTATACATACAGCGTACAATGTATTGCTGGGATTTGTATTCCTCTATAGCTGATGGTACAGGTTCATGCTCTGTATAATATACAGTACAGCAGAATGTACCAACTTCTGGCATCGGACCTGTCTATCCGGAGCCGGTCATCCCCCACACCTGCTCCTCCTTACTACTTCTCCCCGTGTCCCTGTGCCGATCATGGATGTGGATGGGCAGGAAATGTGAGGCGGGGAGGAGGTGCGGCGTGTGGAGCGTGGATGCGAGCGGGTCTGGCAGTGGCGAGCGTGAGGTGGGGAGGAGGTGCGGCGCACAGCGTGTGGAGCTGTGAACAGGGCCAACTGATCGGAAGCCGATTAATCGATTATTGAAAAAGTTGACAACTTTTTCAATAATCGATTATAATCGATTATGTCGATTAGTTGTTGCAGCACTAATGTTAACCTTCTCTGCAGCACAGAAGACCTCAAATAAAAAAGTCAAAAACATTTATTACTGTATATGAAGCCCAACTACATCACAGTAATACATGAAGAACGTTCAACTGGGCTTTATGAGTTAAATGTTGTGTGTGTTTGGGGGTCAATTTAGGAGTTAAATTACGTCTTAAATGTTTGAACTCCAGTCAGATATAAAAGAGAGAAATTAATGCAGCTCCGTAATCATTAAATATATTTTTTAAATGCTACTAGTGTGGGTACCTTAATCTGACTTGGTATTAGCTTCTTGCAATTACCTGTACATTGGAACTATGGCCTCATTCAGGTGGGTGGAAGTCGCCGCTGCTCTCTGAAAAGTGATCAGTCATTTTTAAGAGGGCATGGAGCAGTGGCTGCCTGGAGTTCAGGAGGCAATACTGCTGCCTCCTGAATGCAGGTTATTTTTTAAACCCAATTGAGAATTTTTTACTGAAATACCACATGTGGGTACGCAGTTGTAGCACGGTCCAATTCATTACAATTGTCGTGTTTAACAAGTGGCACCAACTGTCAAAAGCAACAAGTTGTATATTCTGTGCTGTGCCATGATGCAAAGCAATGTATACAGCACTGTGTCACTGCAGTGCTACCATTACAGTGGGCAGCTGGGGTAGGGGGTACTATGTGTAGCTCAATAAAGGTGTGATCATTCCGAGGATACACATATCAAGTTAGGCTGCTATACCCAGGACCAGCTCCCAGAGAGCGAGTCTGTAGGAGGGGGGGTGTATCCACATTGGGTAAACATGTTCCATGTTTAACTATGGTTGCATGTGTAATCTGAAATCATTTTTTCCTTTCTCAGTACCCTGTTACTGGATTTATATGCAGCTTCCAAAGTCTCAGCCTTGTATTTGTTTCCAAAAACGTGTAGTATAATGTGCTTTCAGCCCGAATTGAACTTTACGTTTAAATCACTTAATTACATTCCAGGAGCATCAAAATAAAAGGAGCGGAGATTATGAAAATTGGAGTAGACAAAGTCTGGAGGAGCTGTGCATGGCAACCAAACAGCGTCTCTCATTCAATTTCAAAACTTAATTAAACAAACTGGAGAGAAAGTCTGATTGGATGCCACGGGCAACTGCTCCACATTCTTTTTGCTCCAGTTTTGATAAAATGCTTACAGTCTCAGATGCAACAGCTTGAAAAAAAAGCCAGTTCCCTGCCAGCATGCTAAAGGAAAGGACCCCTGTGTGGAAGCAGTCGTCTCTCTGCAGGGGTCCAACACGCATCAGAGATGGAGCTCTCCAATCAGCAGAACTAATGGTCCCTGCTGATTGGAGAGCTCTAGCAGCTCTAGCTGTGACTCAGCAAGGGGTATATTGACCTTCTGCACAGAGACCACCACTTCCACAGAGAGCAAAAGTCTTTTTTTGCTCCATGCTTGAAGAAAAACTGTGACTGCTTTTAAAAGAAATGAACTGACAGACTAGACACAGACTTTGGAACTACATATACAGGCTTCTTGTACAATGTTTGAAGTGGCTTTTGTTGGTTTTATGGTGCCTGCAGTTGTTAGACATTTTTGTATAAAATATTTTTTTTCACTCAGCACAGGACATTTACATATTTACAAATTCTTATCAAGCTGCAAATAAGTTTTACAACAAGTCCCCATCAACTTCTGTATCTGCAGTCACTATGGGGTAATTCATCCTCAAAAATGTACAGCCGTCTTCCTTTTCTTTCTCTCAGCAGGTCAACTTTGCAGCCTGCCAGCGTTCTATTTTATAAATCATTAATTTATACACAGAGCAAGTGTACAAGAAGAGGAGAGAGAGCAGAGTGCTGGATATCAGCTCCAAATACATTGCTAGATCTTTGGTGGATTCGAGCATGATTTGCTCCACAATATCTGCAGCTATAGAGGTCAGTGAAGACTTGTTTTAAATCTTAGTTACTGCTTGTTATGAATATGTAAATATTTGAATTTCTGTAGCCAGTGCATAGTTCTGCTTTAAGGTGTAAGGGTCCCCTCATCACACAGGTACCAGTTATTACCTGAACTTCTATTGCTAATTTTCAGAACTCATCTACAGTGCCACTTGCTGCTAAAATCCAATACTACTACTACTACTTTATCTAAAACTACTACTTTATCAAAACAGGAGCAAATTTGCACTGCAACCAATCAATCTAATTTTCTAATCTTACCTGAGCAAACTGAAGAGAGATGCTGATTGGTTGCCATGGGCAACTGCTCCAGATTATATCTGCTCCATTTTTGATAAATCCCCCCCAATGTTTCTCTGTAAGAAATATTGAATTAATATGGCCTGATTCAAGTCTGCCAACTGGAAACAGCAGCAAGACAAATAACATATTGATGGGTTTTGTTTTTTTTAAAAAGGAATGGGATGATTTTGATCCCTCTGTACTGCTAAATAAGGATATTTTGAATTTGTATTGTTTTTGGAAATATGTTAAAGTATTACTTTGCAGCCTGCTGTACTTTATAACTCTTTTGCAACTCCTGGGTGGATTTATCCTTTAAATTCCTTTTTCATCCCATTCTTTCCTGCCTAGTGCATTGAGGCACTGCTGTAGTTATTCATCAAAGCAACATAAATAAACCAATAAATTACATTCCGTAGTTTAAAGGGCACTTGTCAGGATGACTTTTACTTCTTACATTAAAACTCCTAGAAACAGTGCCAGTTCTGAACTCTGCATTATGGTGCAGTTTTGTATTTTGCCCCAGATGTAGCACTACTCCCTGTAATTGGGCAATTACACCCTACAGCATTGGATGGGAGCCTTTGCCATTCCAGATGATCACCATCCTGACAGATCCCTTTAATAATAATAATACAAAATTAAAACAGCTATGGAGGTTGTGTTTCTATACGTTGTAAGGCACTGATATGAAGTTTCTTAGGTTAAAGGCTGTACAGTATCTTAATGATTTTTCCAGTTACAAAAATGTAGTCCATAAAACAATTCATTCCTTTGCCAGGCCGATCTCAAACATTAACAGCTTTACCAAAATTATGAAGATTATATTTCTGTAATGTTGCAAGTTTTATGGCACATCAGAAAAAAAAAATAGTCTGGGCATAGAAAGGCATTAGACGTTGCCGAACGTAGTAGCCATTATGAACTATTTGTTTAACAGTATATTTTCTGTCTACGTTGTTTCCGAGCTCATGCAGAAATGCTGGTAGTCTTATCTATGGCGAATGTAGCATTTGTAGGTGGAGTTGGTGCAGGGTGCTACTTAAAGTTTTCAATCACGGCGATCTCCTCAGCAGCACAGTGTGGAGTCAGGCCATTCAGGTAGATACTGTCGCATCTGCTCATAGATGACATGGTCTCTTTATCGCTGGTCAGGTGGTTCACGGACAAGGTTCTCTTGCATGGGGTCATCTCCTGGCTTGGGCTCATTCCCAGCTCCGCTGATAGTTTGCGTTTAACGGAGGTAGCCCGTTGGAACTTGTCGTAGATCTCCACACTCAAGCGTCTTCGGGTCTCTTTGAACTCAGCTGTGACGTTGGCTGTCCATTCAGCAGCATGCGCCCTGAATTCCCCGACCTGCAGATACAAAAATTTAGAACATGGGAAGGCGAGGCAATCTTCAATTTACAGAGCATTTAGGATGACATTATTCTTTGAGGCAGTGCATAGAGAGCAGTGATGATATGCCAAGATGATGTAAGCCATAATAACTCCATCTTTCATTGATCTTAGTACAGTAAACTGAAATGTTATTGGCTGTGCTCTTGGCATAACATGTTTTTTGTAAACCCTCACTGAATATCCTTAAAGGAGAACTATGAGGTGAGTGATTTTCACTCATCCTCATTGATAGAGCCGACCTGTGACAAAGTAGCTGTCACAGGTCGGCTCTATCGATCGGGAAGTGAGCAGAAACATGCCACCGATCCGCTCACTTCCCGATCGTTTCCCTGCAGTGAGCCGTGACTGTCAGCCACCGCTCCTCGCTGGGATTCCCCCTCCTCTCTCCGATCCTCCAGCGCTGAGTGGAGGAATGAATGGAGGAGGGGGCAGAGCCAGCTGTCACTCACGCAGCTGGGTGAATCTCGACAGTATTTCAGGGATCCGTTCTGGCAGCGGAGCTCTCAGTATATCGCGGGCAATAGCCCACAATATATTAAGCTTTGGAGAGAAAATAACGTCACCAGCACTCCAAAGTATAATCAAGCAACAGTCCATTTATTGGCACATTGCCATTCAAATGCAAGTGCTTTCGGGGCCTCAGAGGGTCCCCTTCATCAGGCTCAGAATGACACAGCAGGGCACTTCATTTCCTGACGGGGGCTTCCTGGCCCTCAGGGTTCAGGGTTCCCAACCGAGCTGTAATACCTTGAATTTCTGACTTTGTATTTTTTTTTGTATTCTCTGTACTTCCCTTTTCACCCATTATGTTACCCCTGGAAAAATGTGAAAAACTTCTTTAAATAAATAAGAATGACACAGCAATGAAACAATATGTACCTTAAATAGACATCCAAATGTGAGGTTAAAACAGACCCCTCCCATTGAGAAAAACGTCAGCACAAAGCCCGTTCCCACCATAGGGAATTCAAATGTAGATAGCCTGTGGGAGGGGTGTGTTTTAACCTCACAGTTGGATGTCTATTCAAGATGTCTATTTAAGGTGCATATTGTTTCATTGCTGTGTCATTCTGAGCCTGAAAGCGCTTGCATTTGAATGGCAATGTGCCAATAAATGGACTATTGCTTGATTATACTTTGGAGTGCTGGTGACGTTATTTTCTTTCTGATCTTATCACGGTGCCATCCGTGGCCACTACAAGCACCCACCCGTCCGTACGGGTCTTTTCTTTTCGGTAAGGAGTGCAGCGAGATCTTTTGATTCCTGATATTGAGCTTTGGGTCACAAGAGGAGGCTAGTATATGTCCTCCCGTGACCCTAAAGAGAACTATGGGGAAAAACACTTACCCCATAGTTCTCTTTTAAGCCCCATTCACACAGGCAGTACGGTTGGTTCTGCCTGTCAGTTTTCAGGTGGACCCGATTGGATGCACAATGTAAGTCTAGACAGCTGTGACATCCACTCTGAACGGCTGTGATCAGGAGAGGATCTGTGCACGTCTGATAAACCACAACTAAGTAGGAAGAATGGAGTTTTTATGGAACACAGTGCCACCCTCATTTCTCCAAAATTCAACAGTCAGAGACAAATAATCACATTTAGATCTGACAGGCAGAGTCACGAGACACATATCATATAACCCTCACCAGAAAACAGCTCAGATTAATTGAAATAACACAGAGCAGGCCATGATAAATCCCAAAGACCACATTAGAAAGATGTCTAATAATCCAGAGCTTGTAATGGTGATAATAAACCTCCATTAAGCCAAGTCATCTATTGGAATCAGGTCATAAAATGCCATGACTTATGTGACTCCAAGATACACATTCATAGTCTGGCATTTTTGAAACACACAGAGCTAAGTTTCATACAATATCTATAAATCCTGCTATGATAAAAATCATATTAATAAATAGCGATTATACAGATGTATGAGAGAATAACCATCAGTTAGACATCAAACACACCTATTTTTTAAGCTGCAGAAGACGGATGGGAAGCATTACCTCTCTTAAGGACAATATGTATAATATCCATATCATGTTTGATAGGGATGCACCGATATATCAGCCGCCGAAACATATCGGCCGAAAATGGCATTTTTGGCATAATGCCGAAAGAGCCATGTTTCGGCCGATACATCAGCACATCCCTGGTTTCTTTTCTCCCCGCTGGGCACTGTTCCAGCGTAGAGAAAAGAAAGTGACAGCCGGCTGAGCGCTGCAGGACAAGAGCGCTGTGAGCGGCCGGCGTCTCTCCTCCCACACCGGTCAGCCGCCTATCACAGTACGGCAGAGCGGTGTGGGGGCGGAGACACCGCTGTCACAGGAGGCTGGTCTTTCCTCTCTACACCGCTCGATCAGCCTCCTGTGACAGCGTGTCAGAGAGAAAAGCAAGGTACACACACTCAGAGAACATTGATCGCTGAGTGTGTGTACATAATTGAGTACATGGTATGTTAACTATATCCTCAGTTATGAATGAATGGGAGTGATCTACATCACCCCCATTCATTCATAATTGTAGTTATAGTAAACAAACAATATTCTCATGTTATCAATGAACAGGAACACTCTTAGAGGATTCCTGTTCATTGATAACAGGGGACACAGAAAAAGAGGACTTTGTGTTCTCAATCTCTTTTTCTATTTTAAAAGGGAAATATCAGGGGTCTGTTTAGACCCCTAATATTTCCCAGAAGCCCCTAAAAGTAAAGTAAAAAA